GTGCTAATGATCCATTGTTAGGCTGATGGTCCTTCTTGACCATGTGATCAGCTGGTTTTGGTTGTCAGCAGCAAACTGGTTGATCCACTCTGAGAAGGTGCTATTTAAGAGACTGAGCTGAATACAGCTCCTCAGACTGAGGAAGTCTCTCGGATGAGAGACGAAACGTTTCTACATTTTTTTGTTGATTTGCTTTGTTTTGTTTTTTTGAATGTCCAGAGGACCAGATTTAACTTTTTTAGATTAGAAAAACACAGCAAGTTAAAATAAAGCTCACAGAAATTCTGTTTCAGTAATATATCTTCTTAAATCACATAATCTTAACTGTTTGTTTCTTATCAAGCTCAGGAAATAAATTGAAACTCGACATGAAGCCTTTGAACAACCTTTATTTACATAGGTTAGTCTCATTGAGCCAAAATAAAATGACCAAAACAGCTTCTCCTAAATGATTCACAGCAAAGATGCCCATAAGATAAAAAGGACTGGATCTGTGCAATAAGCAAACAATTCTGGATGTCACAGTTTTTGTACACAGTGAATGACCCAATAAACCTCAGATCTGTCTTCAGCTGTCAGCAGCAACACAACACTCTGGTTTGTGTGGAGCGCTTGATGCAGCCGTGCCGTCACAGAGAAATCTCTGCAGCATTATTAACACCAGGAAGATGCAGGAAATGTGACAGTGATTCATCTCCTGCTCCACGCTGCAAAAAGGGCAACTTTGGCTTTTTCCTCTGGGAATTCAGATAGTTGTTATCACTGTGTGATCCCGGAGCAGCTGGTGGTGCTCCACGACGGGCCGATAGGCGGCGTTTTGTCCCCGTTTGTCACTCCTCTCCACAGCGTCTCCAGGCTTCACATCAAAGCAACACGTCTCCACATTCATCAATAAATCAGCTGCAGAAGGAAAGAGGAAGCTGCTCGTCTCCCTCCAACAAAAACACAGAGACGACTCGGAGAATCATGCAGTCAGCCCCATCACCAAATTAAAACATGGGATTATAATCACTGTGTGTGCTTAGGAATAAACAGCTGAACACTAAACATTTAAAGATCAAGTTCAAGGCATTAATTAACTATTTAAGCCACACAACACAACCCTGCACCAGAAGATAGATTGAAACAGACTTTTTTTTAACATGTAAAACCTTTGGAAACCAATAATATACCCATAAATAAAAAAGTCCAGAAAAAAGATCTACGTTCATCTCAGGTAATTAGTCAATTAAAGTATCAGTCAGCCATCATCAGTCTACTCTCCTGCAGCAGTAAAAAAGGCTTAAATCTAAAAAGATTCTAGAAAATTTAAATGTTATCAGTAAATAAAGCAGCTTCTTTTAGCCAGCTTATTTACAAAACCTGGAGCGCGTACTCTGGCTGATGACTAAAAAGGATTCTTATAATTGATTTATTAATAAATGCTGCACTTTAAGACACTGGGTGAAGCAGCACATGGCAGCGCTGGTGCTTCTTGAGTTTATAACTTGAACCTGTCTGTTCACCTAACAGTCCAGCTCAGACATCCTACCTCAGAGAGCTCTTTACCTGGCTCCAACAGGTACAACAAACAGGTGACAACTGTCCAACAGAGCTCAGGCAACTTTCAAAGCAAGCACAACGAAACGTGCACAAAGAACAACGAGAGCAAAGGCATGGTTCAAATTTTATGTTACCTTTCTGCAGAAGCCTTCTTTTTAAAATTGCCTGAAGAAAAAGCATGTTTCCCTCCACAGTGAGACCCGACCTGATGGATAAATGTCTCGTGGTGAAAGAGCCGAGGAGGAAGACGGAGGAAGAACTTCACTTGCTGCTTTCTCTCTTCCTCACTCTCCTCCTCTTCCTCTAAACTCTGTCGAAGAGACGCCCTCCTTGTTGACTCCAGCTGAACTGTGCATGTGTGTGTGCATGTGTGTGTGCAGAGCAAAGAGTGTTTCTGTAGTCGACTTTAATCAGCCGTGTTCTTCCTCTGGTGTTTCCAGTCTGGTTCTGTTCTAAAGGGACCGATACGTGTTTCAGTCGGTCTCCTCCTCGTTTTCTTTATGTGCTAATTTAATTACAGCGTTCTCGCAGTCTTTCCCTCTGCCTTGCTCAGAATCTCTCCTGATTATGCAAAAAAACTGTAGCTCAAAGCCTTCGAGACTTTTATTGCCCTATTTTTCATCTCTTTTTTATCGTTTTAATGTCTTGCATATGCAGCAGGTCTGCCCCAGTGTTGGTTTCTGTGAGCCCACTGAACGTCTCGCCCAAACCTAAAGCTTCTACAACTGACGTCCACAGATTTGGACTCATTTCTCGTTTATTTATAACCTAAAGATAATTTATATGAACGGTAAAGCAACAATGCACAAAACATTGATCCTGCCAACGTCACCAAACATTCCTGATCAGTTTTGTTTGAAGGATAAACCAACATCCTTCCAGAAGCTTCTTAGCCAAACCTGAAAACTTCCACTGATCAGATGTAGATGTGAGAGGTTTTACCTGATTCAGGCAGTTTTGTTTGGTTTGACTAAATGATGTTTATTGGGCTGTGAGCTCAGTTGATTCTGCAAATGTTTGTACCAACAATGTTTAAACCATGAAAACATCTATTACACAAACCATAAAAGGTGTAAAGTGTATGAAATATTGATTAGACTTTCACCGTGACATTATTAAGTCTAAACACTTTCCAACCACGTTCACCTCTGACAGTCAACACGTTATCGTCTCATTGTGCTGTTTTTCTCATACCTGTGCTGAAAAGTACACCACTTCCTGTTTTACCTACTGTAAGGAATTGAACCAAAGTTAAGTTAAAATACTTAAGTTAATATTTAACTTAAATTAAATACTGTTTTTGTTTTCCCAAACCAAGTACCTAATTTCGAGTACATGCGGAAATTGAGTACCTATACCAGGTAGTTAATGTGTTAGAACTTAAACAATGCACACAAAACTTTAGAAACACATTTATTTTATTAAGAACACCCCAACCAGTCTGCTGTCTTAACATCACCTGTGTTTTCCTAAAATATATCTAAACTTATCACTTTTTTGTTCTCAGTTATTTGCAAAGTGGACGGGAAATTTACATCACCAAGCACAAACGTGTTCTGAAGTATTGGGTCATTTTTACAAGTACAAGTACAGTATTTGAGGCTGGTTTGGGGCCCGATACTGATACCAGTATTGGTATTGGGTCAACACCAGTTTTAACATATAAAGCATTACAACCGCAAGCGCAATAGTAACATTAAATTCTAGCTCAGTGCCTGTAATATTTTAATAATTATAATGATGCTGGTGTGGGGGGTCTGCACGGTGGTACAGATGGTTTCTGGGTGGAGTTTGCATGTTCTCTCCGTGCATGTGTGGGTTTTCTCCAGGTACTCCAGTTTCCTCCCACAGACCAAAAACATGCATGTTAGACTGGTAACTCTAAATTGTCCCTAGGTGAGAGAGAGAAAGATAATGGTTGTTTGTTCTGTTTGTCTCTATGTGTCCCTGTGATGGACTAGAGACCTGTCCATGATGTCCCTGTGATGGACTGGAGTGTCCACCACTTCTTGAACAGTGACTAGACATTTGCACCAGTGACCCCTGTAACCCCAAAAGGAATAAGTGGGCAAATATAATAGATGGATGGATGGATGGATGGATGGATGGATGGATGGATGATGCCTCGGTGCGTTTGGAATTCCATCAAACCTTGAACATGCAGCATTTACTCATAGAACCATGTGGATCAAAAGAAACAACTTGCATTAATCTGGAACAAATAAAAAAATTAAAATGTTAAAATGTTCCCACTGAGCTGAAACTATCAGAAGTTCAGCACCACGGACAGCGAGTCCTGAAGCCGCACTCTGACCACAGCCGTGATCCTTTGCTTCACCTTCTTAATGCTGCTAAGGCTAATAATAATTTTTAAAAAAGGCTGAAACCAAATTATCCCAGCATGCACTGGTAAATTAAGAGGAGGTCGAGTTAGCAGCCCTTCAAGTGGTTAATACTTTGAGGATAAAGTGAACACAAAAAGTCCTGCTGAGCCCACAGAAGATTAAAATGGTACCCAGCACAACGTGTGAGTGTTTACTGTGAACTTTGCCACACTCAGATAAATATGTTTCACACTTTATATAAACCCTGACGGTTCTGCTGGGAACGCTTTTTCAAGAAATCCTGGTTAAGATGTTTGTTAAAAACTGCTTCACATTAGAGCTGGCTGCAAAGTTGGTGCAATAAAAATATGTAGGAGGAAACACCATCCCCAATAAATCCAGCTCATTTTTCTACGAAGCAAAGACTTAAGAAAACATGAACAGATTTAATGCAGTTCAGTTAAAGAGAAATGTGTCTGTAGACCGGTGGTTATCATCGCCTGCCGCCAGGGTGTCCATGTGTGAGACGGAGTGTGTTGCATATGTTTGTATTTATATTTGTATTATCATTGAAGTATATCAATTAAAAGGATTTTTTCATCTTTCAGAAGTAGCTATTTGTTTCGCATCGCTAAACTACAGTGGCCCTGAAATTTAAACCACAACTACAAATTAAAAAACACAACTACAAACTCCAACAAAGTTCAAATCAGGTCATCTGGACTTTTGTTTTTTGAGACATTCCTTCATCCAAAGGACTTCTTCAGTCCGAGGAGCCACAACGAAGCCAGTCCTACAAGCAGCACCTTCACATAGTGGCCAACCAGTTTGCTGGTGCTCAGATGGTTTCTGGAGTCCGCCCTCTTCCCCGTCGACTCCTATGAGGTAGCCATAGCCAAGGTGGTTCAAAACATCAAAGTTCATGCTCAATAATCCAGGTAGAAAATTCAACAAAGTTCAGTCAGGTCATCTGGATGGTTTCTATTTTGGTCTCAACAAAAAATAAATAAATAAATAATAATAAGAAGAAGAAACTGTCCAGAGGACCTGACTCAACTTTGTTGGATTTTTTTTAACCTGGATTATGATCATGAACATCTACAAATTAAAAAACATGACTACAACAGGACCACCGTATTGAACCAAGATGGCCGCCAGCAGAGTAATTGAACAAACACAAACCCAACTATAAGTCAGTCACTTTTACACAATTGTAAATAACATTAGAAATATTACTTGAGCAGAAATATTTGCTGGAGTTTACAGTCTTATTGTGATAGATGTTTTTTCATTAATTTATTTTTAAAAATCACTAACTTAAAAAAAAATTGGTTGAAATTCAACGTAAAGAAACTGCAAATAAAAGCAAATTGCACATTGTTTCTCAGGATGGAAGATTGAGGAAATGAAGAGTCAACACGTCTGCTGGCTTCCTTCATCAGATTAATAACTTTGATAAGTGGAATTTATGAAGTATGAGACTGTTCCAGCTCAGTGCCCTGAGACGACTTCTGTTGTGACTTGGAGCTGCAGAAATATCCTGAACTGAAGTGAATAAAAAGTAGAGGCAGAGTGAACTTCCAGCCATCTTTGGAGAGAATGCAGAATAAGTTGAAGTTCAGTGACTGAAAGTGTTTCCATGAACATTGTGTCAATCTTTAATTATTCATGTTACCATATGTTTCTTCTCTGAGGAACATTTATAAGCTGTCCAACTCCTGACAAATATCAGATATAACTCAAGCGGACGACTGAGACAAACTGTCCTCATCTTTACTTTCTGTTGTTAAACTTGTTCTGGTTGTTCGTTCTGGACCACCCAGGCTGCCTCCGCTCTCACACCGTTTTCCTGTTTATCGTCTCTTCTTCCTTGGCATCTCACAGGTTCACCGTACTTTCAGCAATAAGCCCATCCAGGTAGCAAAATGTTCAGCTCCCTCAGAGCACAGGTGCTGTGACTTGTGGTGTGTTTAACTTTCATATGTTTAAAATGATTATTTTTAGCCTTTTCAAAATGCACATCAGGGACCAAGCAGGCTGGTGGTGTGCCATAAAACAAATCTCAGCAATAAAACACACAGAGCATTAAGAAAACATCTGCTAGAGGGATAAGTTTACAGTCTGACCTATTTTCAGTCACTTCAGCTGCTCCACACCTGGCAGCTGACAGCTGGATGCACATCTGCTTACATTGTTTTTAATTTAAGCTCAAATTAAACATTTATATAAAAAATATATATATTGTTCAGAATTTCTTTATTTTACTCCAGGAATGTTTTCTTTATCCCCTCTTCATTACATTGCAACAGAAATGTTTCAGTATTACTATTGCAATGGTTTGTTATCTGGGTTTCCAAACCAGAGTCTTAACTGGAGTTACTGGGAGAGTTAATTTCAATCCAGTTTTAGCTTCTCTCCATTGGCTCCCTGTCAAGTCCAGAATTTAATTCAAAATCTTACTTCTAACCTACAAAGCTCTCAACAACCTAGCTTCATCTTATATTACAGATCTTATGGTTCCATATTTTCCTAACAGAGCACTTTGCTCTCAGGCTGCAGGTTTACTTGTGGTTCCTAGAGTTTCCAGCAGCAGAATGGGAGGAAGATCTTCCAGTTCTCAGAGTCAGAGATTCATTATTGCCGTTCACACCACATGTGGTACATGTGGTGGAACAAAATTATGTACACAGGGTCCCAGTTACATCCAACAACAAAATGTAAAAGAAAAACAGTAATAAGATCAAAGATATGAACTAAGAAAAACATCAACTAAATATACACTAAGCACTAACAGCATAAAAACATTACATCAAACAGCAGCACGAACATGAGTCTGTGTGAGCAGATGAGCACGAATGAACGCTTCTACATGAAACAGATCAGCAGCAACATGAAACAGATCAGCAGCAACATGATGTGATTTTTCACAGTGATTATTCTAGTTAGAGATTCATGAGTCTAACAGCCTCAGGGTAGAAGCTGTTCCTCAGTCTAGTGGTTCTACACTTAATGCTCCTCAACCTTCTACCTGAGGGGAGCGGGACAAAAAGTGTGTGTGCTGGGTGAGTGTGGTCCTTCATGATGCAGGTGGCCCTCTTCCTGCATCTGGAGGTGTAGATGTCTGTGATGGTGAAGAGACTGACTCCAACATCTTCTGTGCAGCCTTCACCACTCTCTGCAAAGCTTTTCTTTCTGCAGCTGTGCAGCCTCCATGCCACACGTTGATGCTGGAGCACAGGATGCTCTCCACTGCACACCTGTAGAAGGAGGTGAGGACTGAGCTTCCAGACCAGCTCGCCTCAGCCGTCTGAGGAGGTAGAGTCTCTGATGAGCTTTCTTCATCAGTCTGGTGGTGTTGTTGCTCCAGCTGAGGTTGTGGTTCAGGTGCACACCCAAGTACTTGTAGCTGGAGACCACTTCCAATGCAGATCCTCTTATGTTCAGGGGGGTGTAGGTGAGTTTGTTCCTTTTGAAGTCCACGATCATCTCCTTCATCTTCTTCACATTGATGTGAAGGTTGTTCTTCCTGTACCAGCTCTCCAGGTGTTCCACCTCTTGCTTGTAGCTGGACTCATCATTGTTTGTGATGCATCCCACCACCGCTGTATCATCTGCAAACTTTACAATGTGACAGCCTGGATGGGTAGCTGCACAATCATATGTGAACAGAGTGAACAGGAGAGGGCTCAATACACAGCCCTGAGGGGAGCCAGTGCTGGTGGTTATGATGGAGGAGGAGAAGTTGTGGATCCTCACTGACTGTGGTCTGTTTGTTAAGAAGTCTAGTACCCAGCTGCAAATGGAGGGGCTTAGTCCTAGTGTGAGTTTGTCCAACAGGGTTTGGGGGATCATGGTGTTCAAAGCAGATGTGAAGTCCACAAAGAGCATATGGCTTGAGGTTGACACATTGGCCAGTTTTAAGACTGGGCTTTAGACTTTTATTTTTTATAAATCCCATAGTTAGAGTAGGCTTGGGTTTCCTGAGCTATCCCTTAGTTTTGCTGCTATAGGCTTTGATTGCTGGAGGACAAACTGACCACATGTCCTCTCTCTGCTTCTGTCTCTACTTGCTTTGCTCAACATGTTTGTATCTGTAATTATTTCTATCCTTGATATGTTTTTGTCTTTCTTCCAATAGGGGTACACCTGCACCTACATCTGTTACACCTACACCTACATCTGTTACACCTGCACCTGCATCTGGTACACCTGCACCTGGTACACCTGCACCTACATCTGGTACACCTGCACCTGCATCTGGTACACCTGCACCTGCATCTGGTACACCTGCACCTACATCTGGTACGCCTGCACCTACATCTGGTACACCTGCACCTACATCTGGTACACCTGCACCTACATCTGGTACACCTGCACCTACATCTGGTACACCTGCACCTACATCTGTTACACCTGCACCTACATCTGGACTTGTCAATCTGTGTTTGTCTGTTTCTACTTCCTGTCCTTTCAAACCCAGCTGATCTAAGCAGATGGCCGCTCGTCCTGAGCCAGGTTCTGATGGAGGTTTCTTCCGGTTAAAATAGTTTTTCTTTCCACTGTCTCCTCTGTTCTTGCTCAGGATGGGAGATGGTGATGAAGTGAAGATTCAACTTAATCTGCTTCTTCCTTAGACAGAGAACTTTTACTGACTTTTGTAATGTTTGTGAATGTTTCTGTTCAGTGTCCTGAGACCTATGTTGTGACTTGGAGCTACAGAAATAAACTGAATTGAAATTAAATCAATTAAGTCTGAATTTTATTAAACTTTGGTTTTAAAGAAGACATTGTTGCTAAACTTACCCCCCCCCCCCCCCCCCCGCCTGAATCAAGGTCAACAACAACCAAGACGTTGACCAAAAATGTTCAGTCAACTTAAGAAATGTTTTTGGTAAATAATATTTTTTTCTGAATCTCTGACTTAATAATGTTCTAAACTCTTAAAGGCTGTTTGCTGAAGACTTCAATGTGGGGGCTGTAACTGAAGGGAAAGTTCTGACTTGGTTCTCCTTCATGTCGTCCCTGAAGTTGTGAGGACCTCATGCTGCCTGAACAGAAAGCTTTGATGGAAACAGTGCAGCACAAAACAAGACGCTTCAAACGTCTCGTATTAACTCGCAGAGTGCATTAAAGTGTAATCCATTTAAATTATTCACTCGCTCATCACATTCCTGTTTGTCGAGTTTTATTTAGTTTTCCTAACATTTGGTTCTGTAAGTCACTCAAAGTGGAATAAAATTATCATAATAAAACTCAATTATCTTAATTACTGAGAACGTGCTTTGTCCACTGCAGAAATGATTACAATAGTGGGTGTTTAATATTTCATGTATTTTTATTAAACCGTAGCGAGTTTCACCATTTTGAATAATAAATCAAAACGTCACAGATTTCATTCTGCAGCCGTGATGAGAGGAAAACTCTCACTGAACTGTGAATCAAGTAGAATCTGATTTATGGCTAAAGTTTATTTTGCATATGATTAAAAATATTAACATGAATATATTATATTTATTTAAAAACACTGAAACTGCCGGGGCAGGAGGCTTCAGCAGAAAATTACATTTATTTTTATCTTTGTTACATTTTTAAACTTTCCTCAACTCCTTTTAATTCCATTGTGTACTTATTTATTGCACTATTCTTCTCCTTCGACACGTGCATGAGTGATGCACGTTTAGGCCTCACGCTCAGCAGGTGCGTTAAGGTGTGCACACACACACACACACACTCTAAAATAGGCACGTCAATCTGATAAGAAACACGAGGAATATTATGTCAGTGTTTCATGTTTTTATGTTATTTACTGACTGGCAGCATTCTGGAAACAGAGTTTTATTAAATTTTTCCCAGCAGTCCATTATCATAACAGTTTGAGTAAGTTTTAATTTATGGAGGAAAAAAAACAAAAGTCCAACTCAAAGAAGTGTTGGGTGAAACTTTGTTCCTTGTTCCGGTTGATGAGTATTAATGATTTAACAACCATTTTATATTTGTATGGGCTTTACTTATTGCTAAAAGTTAAATAATTGTGAAAGTGTTTTGGATCTTGCATGTGTGCGTGCGTGCGTGCGTGCGTGCGTGCGTGCGTGCGTGCGTGTGTGTGTGTGTGTGTGTGTGTGTTCATGGGACTGGCTGTAAGCAGGACTTGCTGGACAGATCCAAACGAAACTCTCAGAAGTTAATCTTTGATGTTCGTGTCCATCCCCTCACCTTTTAGAATCAGTCAAATCCAAGATGGCCGCCACAGCTTAGAAACTTTAGAAAACACAGAGGTGACCACAGCTCGGTCAGATTTACAGACATTTAGCTAAAATTAGGTGTGATAGCAGCTCATGGTCATCCTCAATATACTCTAAATGCTTCTCATTGAATCACAGCTTTGCATCAACAGATATACGTTGTCTGTCTGTTAGCAAAATATCTTATGAACCACTGGATGGATTTTACAGGTGCTCTCAGATTAATGGCAACTGATTAACTTCCAGGGTTAACCCAGTTCAAGCTGGGCACCACAGCTGCAGCTGAAGCTTGATGTGGGAGTAGCTGAGAGTCATCCTCAACACAAACTCTGAGTTTTAACAGATTTATTAAAACCTTTATTTACACAGGTTAGTCTGAAAAAGTCATGAGGTCTCATGTTCAAGAGAGACCTGTGGAGGTCTTAGACCATCACCAGGTTTGTTCACTGATTTTGTCCTTGGCTTTAACGGCTCATTATAAGATGATGTTAGTTTTAAAACTCTGGTTTATTAACCTTTATTTATTTATTAATCTTTATTTAACCTGGTGCTGAATAAAGTGGAAGAATGTCGGGCCTTTAA